AATTTCAGCCTTTGAACGGCGTAGGGTGAAGTCGATGTAGAAATCCAGTCTGTTGTTTCTACCGCCCGGAGGAGTCCACGCAGAATCCTTTTTATTGTAGTGCTGGTAGGGAGGATTCTGTGGGTTAGTATGCTGTTCAGAGGTATGTTGGAAATATAGGTAGAAAGAATTCAGCTTGACTCTAAGATCCCAGTTTGAGTTTGCAAGGTTAGCAGTTAGAAGAAACATCTTTCTCTTGTAAGAGGAGTAAATGTAACATGGACACACTAAACATGGAATCCCTCAATACCATTTTTACAATAGAATCATATTTCAACTATTTTCAGAATTTATTTTAGTTTCTAACAATTTAAATATCAGGATGACTTGGTTAATAGAAATGGTAATAATTTGTTAATTAAGCAGTATTATCCTGAGGCTAAGGAGAGTTCAGTGTGTATTCTTACCATTAACTATCGAGCACGGAGAAGGTTGCCGTTGAAAACTAAATTAGAAAAACTTTTGATTGTGTTTTCATGAAATCTCCCCCCAGAGTTTCAGCCAATGATGAAGCTGGCTGAAATTTTCTGATATTGAAAAAAAGGGAGGGGGACAAATTTAAAGAAAAACTGTCTTTCCTAAGTATCAGGGGGTAGCCGTGTTAGTCTGTATCTACAAAAACAACAAGGAGTGTGGTGGCACCTTAAAGACTAACAGATTTATTTGGGCATAAGCTTTCGTGAGTAAAAACCTCACTTCAGTCTTTGAAATATCTGTAAACTGCAATATTGACAATCCCAATCATTCAAAAACCTTGAGTCAGAGCCCCAAATATCATGAGTCTGAATAAAAAATCACGAATAAGGAATTCTAGATTTTTGGTTTAGTTTTTTCATGTTTTGGGGGTTTTTTTCCTTCTGAGATTTTTAGCTTTCAGGCCACATTTTCTAGCTTTTTCTCTGCAATCACAAGGGTGAGAAACTTAGCTTTGTTTTGTTTTTTTCAAGTAAAATCCAAGGTTCTCATGTGATTCTAGCATCCAGAGATTAAGAACAACACAAAATATTGCAAAAGTTGGAAACACTGAAACTGACAAATGCATTGGATCCGTGTAGGCTCACCAAAATCTTGTTTCTTTCTCCTAAAACAGTTGAAGCAACTGGAAGTAGGTTTCCAAAATGCCATGGTTCCATCAGCATGTGCCTGTTAAATTGAGTGCAGGATTTCTATGCCTCCTTCTCGTATGGAACTTGGGTAAGTGTGACGTGTGTTTGAAACGCCACTGTCACCGACAATTTATTCTGAGACATGATAAAGTAATTTCCCCAGCACGTGCACTTTGATATTGCCCCGTGAACATCCAAAATGTTTTTCCCATCCATCACTCTCAAAGCCAAAAGGATGCGCCAACCTGCTTTCACCTAAGGGAGATAGAAAATACAGGCTCAGGCCAGGGTGCCTGATTCTCCACCTTCTTAGGTAGTTAAAATGCTATTACTGGCTGAAATTTTGTGGCATCACCACCTAGATAGGGCGGGGTGACAAGTCCCACCTGCCTGAATGGGCCATCACTGAGACACATTGGCCCCAGTGACTAAGTTTTACCCCAAGTCCATAAAGCATAATTTCAATATAAATACATTATTCCTTAAATATTACCCATGCAGGCATCTCACACTGATTGTGAATCTTGGCAAGTTATGAGCTCTCTATAGACATGTTATATATTCCTCTTTATGGATAAATAGATGTGTGTAAGATATGTGTTTGGTGTAGTGCATTTTCAGGTCTGAGGAGAGATGTTTGCAAAGAATGAGACCTTTTGCCTAAGAGCCTCTGTGTCACAGAGGTGTTAGAACTAATTAACATAACAGAGAGGCCAGCAATTGATGGGACTCACAATGAACCATCTTCTTGAGCCTGCCAGTGTAGCCCATGTCCGCTTGGTGTGGTGCTCTGTCCCCTTCTAGTGGCACCTAGACCATCTAGAGCTTGATCAGTCTGTAACAGCGTTGGCTTAGAAAGATCTGCCTTTTAGCTCATGCAGTATAGGCTCATACACTAAGCTTCAGAGGTCCCGGGTTCGATTCTGCCTGCCGACAAGTCATTGCTGTTACACCAGGATTAAGGTAGTATGTTGCCCTGAAAAGTTTGCATTGATGCTGTCTGGGCCACATGATCTGCAAATAAATGGAAGACCTCATTCCCCAGCACTGTTGAGCCTACCTCTTCAACATTACCATTCTTAAGTATTATTTGTGTTATGGTTGTTTCTACTGGCTCCAGCTAAGATCGGGGGCTCACTGTACTGGGCCTGGTTCAAACACAGGAGAAGAGACAGTCCCTGCCTTGAAGAGTTTATAAAGCAAACAAAGGGAGTATTATTATTCTCATTTCACAGACAGGGAACTGAGGCACAGAGAGATTAAGTGACTTGCCCAAGACAGTGCCAGGAATTGATTTCTGGAATCCCAGCCCAGCACCTTAGCTGTACGACTACATACCGCAGTAACATATCAAATAGCAAGCTTTGATAATCAGCATGCGTGTAGCAGTCACCGTTTTCAGGATGGCATCTTATGGGTAATGGTGCTTGCAAACCTGGCACTCAATCTCTATAACGCTTTGTGGCTCTCTTCTTCCTTTGATTCCTGTTAAAGGAAGTTACTCACTTGTATTAAGGGCCTGCTCCTGTACCACTGAAATTGAAGGGTGTTAGGCTATTGACTTCACTGAAAGCAAGCTCAGGTCGGAGGCGGAGCAGGGCGGGAGGTGGGGACAGGGGAGAGAAAAGCTAATTTCTTAACCTTTGTTCCTTTAAAAGCTAGGTCATTTTAGGGTCAGATTCTTCCTTGTTGGTATGTACACGCTCTGCTGCCATTATAGAAATAACGTGTGGCTCTGAATGATGGACTAGTTCGCAATGCTATTGTCCAACCATTTCACAGCCATCACGCTGGCAACAGAGAAACCTTGGAGAATCCTGGTTGGTCATTTGAGTGGGAAAGTCATTTCTCAGATTCCACTTTCTCCATTTTACAGCTGCAGGCATAAAAGGAGAAAATAAGAAGGAGAAGAGTGTGCCAGTGCTGGCTACTGCAGGTAAGGCCTGGCACATGGCTTCAGAAGTTACTCTGATTGTGTGGGGTTAAGTTTGAGTCAGAAGTATGGTAGCTAGCCCAATGGGCGCTGCTTGGTGAGTGGACTCCTGTTCAGTAATTTCCACTCAGGAACGGCAGCCAGGCAAACCCTTCCACAGCCACTGTTCCCTACAGCTACCCCCCCCCAGAAACAACCGCACCCCATTCCTGATGCCTAATTCCCCTGAAACCCTGGAAAGGGACTCAGCAGCCATCTCCCTGTTTATCACGCAAACTGAAGCCCACTCTCCTGCTGCTGCCTATGATATCCATCTTTCCAGGAGCATTCCCTGATGTTGCTCACTCCCTCCTCCCAACCGTTGGTTGCCTCGGACGCTCTCATTCTCATCCTAACATCTACCCAAACCGGACACCACTTCCAGTGGCCGGCGCCTTCCTGACCAATGGCTGCAACCCCATTTACGTTCCAGAAACCATCCTGCTAACCTCTGATGGGTTCTTAGCGAGGAGGAGGAGTGGTTTGGTTTCTATAGCACATTGTGTGGCTTCTATGTCTCTTCCTCGCTCCTAGTTGCACTGTATGTACTGCAGCTTTCCTGTTGTTCTGAATACCCAAGTTAGGTGAGTTGGGTTTTTCATTTCCACTTGTCAGTGAACGTGTTTGTAACATGTTGGTTCAGAGCTGGTCAAAAATGGTAAGACATTGTCATAGAATTTCCCCCTCCCCCCCCCCAACACTGATTTTTTTTTTGGCTTGGATTTTTCATCCATGCCCTCCTTCTCCACGCCCCCCAATCCCACCCCCTCCACCTCTGCCCTTTCCCTTAGTTTTTAATTGTCTTGTTTGAACTAAACAAAACATTTTCTACAAAATTGTCATTTAGAAAAAAGCCCTAGTAATTTTTGATCAGAAAATGTTCTCAAATTAAAAAAATGTGACCAGCTGTAGTTAGGTTATTCTCCTTGGCCAATCAGGGCATCTCATTAAAATAGTTGAATCTTCATTCCAATACTATGCAACATGCACAGGTGGAAATTTAAGAGAAAACTTCTTCCAGATGAGTGTGGTTTATAAATGGGCACCCGATTCAATGCCACTTTAATGAAAATATGTGTTGCGCACTAAGGGACTCTAACATCCTAGGATTTTAATGAGTAAGCTGGCATCCACAGCAGAGCACTGAGGAACACTGTCAAAAGTGCCTTTTAATTAGTAAATGCATATACAGTGCCATATCTTCATGTTGACGTAGCATTGCACCTGCTGTTCTCACCTGATTCTAGTATCAGCTGTTGCATTGCTCTCACGGTATATTTAGCTTCTCAGAGTCATCAGACATTGTTTTCTAGCCCTAATAAGCAATTTGATGTTTTCATTTTCCCACAGATGGTAGCGTCTCACTGAATCACTTTATCCAAGTCATTTAGAGGAATATATACACAGCACATTGACAGGTTCCTAGCACTGTCAAATGTCTGATGTTCAGAAATGCTGCTTCTTTTTCAGAGCTGCCTGCCAAATCCGTTGATCTGGCTGCGATTAACCTGACTGAACTAGTGAACGGAATGTTAAATACAGCTCTCAAAGGTAACATTGTTGTGCTACAAAAGGATGTGAAACATGTTGTGGACTGTCGGCTCCACATAAGTTGAAATATGGAGCTAAAGGAGTTAGGGGACAAAGCTGTAAAAATACAGTATGCTGTATTTGGATGAGTTGCTGTAACATGGTGTGTGGCTGTGTGTGTATGTGTGTGTAATTATTAACAAGGTGTCTTTAGAATGATCTCTTTGATCCACATTTATTGTATTGCCCGTTCATTCCTCCCCGCACCCCCATCTATTTTTGTACTGGTCCCTCTAGTTTTGTTTGCTTAAAATTAAAAATGGTGATTTAAAATTATTTCTGCTAGCTCACAATGAAAACAAAATTCAAATGCATCTGTCTACAGTCTTTGTATGGTGTGCTTTAGAAATAAAATCATGCCACTGTTATATCAGACTCAGTAGCTGGGTTACAAATAACCCATCCAAGTCATTAATAGACATGTGCACATTTTTCTGCAGGTACCAAAAAATTCTTCTCTTTGCTGAGCATTACCTCTTACAGCTCGTTTGCCTTCCACAAAGTTTCGGTCGCCATTTATAACAGTGGGTACCATACCGTTTTATTCTACTCTCAAATGCATTTTCTTAGACGGTGAATCCATCAAGATTTCAGTTTCCACTGTCCCTCTTTGCAGTTTCTAACCTGAAAAATGTTGACCCCAGCAAGTTCCCTATGAGGTATTGCTACTGTTTAAACAACATGACAAATGACTTAACAGGTGGGTGTAAAAGCAGTGTGACTGAGAGCGGGCTGGCGTTTGAGTGTGTTTAAGCCACATTGTTTCCATTTGAGCTGCAGGTTCTCAGCCCCAGTCCTGCAACTTTCTTCATGAGCGAGTTGTAGTCACATTGAAGTCAAAAGCCATGGTAAGTGGCTAGTTTGAAGCACTGGAGAGACTCAGTGAACTGAGCACGAGAAGACTGCTCCCTGCTGGCAGCCCTGGGGTGGAGCTATCAGCCAAGCAGACAAGATGAGTTGCCACTGGGGGAAAAAACCCTGCATTTTTTCATAGGGAATGCGGGGAGAAAGACAGCCTCTTTATAGCCTCCCAGCAATAGCTGATATCCGTGGGTTTAATTTTATAGTACAATTTAGCTTCTCTAGCTGCTCTCAGGTCCCTGGAGATGTCCAGGGGTTCCTCCAGACCAAGCCTGCAGTAATCCCTCTAAGCCCAGAGTGGGGGAAGGAGGAAAAGAAGACTGGGGTCTATATAGGGCAGTTTTGTGGGGTGAGGAGCTCCATTGCACAAATTCCCCCCACCCCCTCTGAGCACTGTTCAAATTCCAGAACGTGTGTGATGCCACTTCTTCCCATTTTGTGCACCTGGCCATTTCCCAGCGCTGGTGACTTGGCATCCAGCTGTTTTACAGAGTCATATGATGCTTCCGTGCCCCTTGTTCTTGCACCAACCTGGGCATGGCTCTGGGCCGGTACAGTGTCCCAGCTGTGACACATGAAAAGGATATTCCATAATCCTGGTTATTTCTCCTGCTTTGGGGGGCTAGAACTCATGTCTGCACATATGTGTGTGCAGCACCTAGCACAATGGGATTCCTGTGCCCCACTTGGGAACTCTGGGCACTACCATAATTAGGATTATTTATTTGTTATTTATCAGAGGGGTAGCCGTGTTAGTCTGAATCTGTAAAAAGCAACAGAGGGTCCTGTGGCACCTTTGAGACTAACAGAAGTACTGGGAACATTAAGCTTT